GATCAAAATCAGTGCCACATTCCTCTCAGTTTACAGGTGATCCAGGCAAAGGCACAGCATATTTTTGAGGACTTACAAGGCCGAGGGGTGGTGAATCGAACCAAGAGGTGACGTTCACAGCCATTCGAGGGTGGTTTAAGAGGTTTAAGCACCGCAGCAACCTGCTCAACATTTTAACGATGGGCGAGGCGGCGAGCACGGACACTTCAACATCTCACTCCACCTCAAGCGAGCTCCACAACGGTCACCAGTGAGCGTTCACCAAACCGTGTCCTGGGCCAGCCCCGGGGTCTTCGCCCAGTATTCTTTAAGCACGACGGAAAACTTCCCAGGAACCTAACCTCCCCTATTTACATTTGTTTCTTATGAGAAAATAAGATTAGCTTCAACTCGGATTTTCCAGGAGCGCAACCCCGACGTTAAGCGAGCACGACCCGCATCTCCTCGTTTGTTAGTTGTGCTTTATTCATTAAGGACCCTGTTCTCGTACTCTGCGATAATGATACGTTAGTTTTTATTGTTGACGTGCACACGGCACCACAGACTTCGCTTGTAAAACATCTGGGCTGCTGCCTAAATGGGACCATCCGTGTAACAATCAAATGAGCTTAAACTCGATGCATAGGTAGGTAAAAGGTACAGATACGAGAGGATGCTTGGTATACTTGATCAAAAAATGTGGAAAGCCAACATCTACTAGAGTTCACAACAAGCAGGAGGGACATTAAGGTAATGAACACTTCTAATAAAGATGGACACGGAGGTGCCCAAAGACTTCATAAATGGAAGACTCGATTCTGACAGACTGTCGGAGATGTCTCGATCCACAGCAAGTTCAATACAAGACGGCTGGTGAAATGTGAGAGATTAAAATTGCCAGATAAGAACAATGCAACATCAAACTTATGGTTGTGGATGTACAGCAATGTCATTTACACTGGTTCTAAGCAATGGATTCAAATACCTAGAAAAGTTAAATTGTTAAGTGGATGTCACCACTTTGAATAAATGGACAAAAACATAATTTATCATAAACACTGCTACCTTAAAAGGACGTGCATATATCTCATTAGGTGACATTTCAGGCAATCGCCCGTCTTTATAGCACATACATGAATACGATAACGAACATTGTAATAGATGGTTCAAGTGAAAAAAATGTGAGTTGAAAACGGGATAAAAATGTCAAAAAACAGCAGACACAAAACTCTATAAAACGATTACCAATGAGGAAAGACTAAATAACACGCAATGGGTGCATGAGCAGCAAAATGGAAGTCGATGATTGATAAATCATAAGGACTCTCCCTTGGAGAGCTAAATGAAACCATAACACGTGATGGAAATGGTCATAAACCTCATGCAGGAAATGTATGCAGAGATCTTAACAACAAAAACAATGCATATACAGTACACCAGGAAGCAAACGCGATTTCTGTTGATGTTCCAGATTATCCTACCTGCAGAGGTAACCAATGTCCTTCACAGGATGACAAAACGGAAAGCCCCTGTGCCAGATGGAAAATCACCAAAGGAGAGGGACGAGCTTACAAGGGGTAGTCCCATTCTCCCAGGGTTTTGCACAGATACCAAACGCGTCAATTGTGGAACGGCACCCTCCAGAATCATTCTATTAAAAAAGCAAAAGACAAAAACGACCTGAAGAATCAGTTCCATGTGCCTCCTTATCACACGTACTGCTTAGAAACCGTTCACTTTTACATGCAGTAAACACTAGGCACTGTAATTGTAGTGCAGTTAACACTTGGCAGGGCCACAAGAGCTTTTTGGGTTAGATCGCATAAATATAAATGTGTCGTTAAACCCGCCACCAACCGACAGCCAATTAGTAAGGTTTGTCACGTAAACAAAACGTGCCAATTAGTTACTAGGTCAGCACACCAGTGTGTTGGAGCGTAAACCCACAATCAGGCAAGTCATAATTTGGCAGGTATTAATTTAACACACTGAAAATCCGAAACCCCCTTTCGTCAATAACATCGTGGTCTGAAAAGGAAGATTGTATGCTCGATGATGTTATGGGCAATGGCCCTTCTGCACAACACACACACAGAGGCCGGGGATAGAGTTAATAAGAGTTAGAGACTGCACTCTACAGGTATACCATGGAGCCTGATTAAATACATTTTCACTTTTTTATCCTGCTTAAGTGTTAAATTGCATAACACAAGAGTTGCAACCAGAGGTACTAACATCTTTTCCACCGAGGGCCAGTTTGACGTCCATGCCTAAAGCTACAAGCTGTAAAGAGAACCTACATTACTTACTGTCACTTGATATATATTGACAGATGAATGCATAATAGCTTGGTTAGCTAATAGGGGAGATCAGTCAAAATAGCAGATATATTCACAAAAGGCACAGGTATAAGAGAGATAAGAGACAAGCATTCAGAATGGAGATTAAATGAGAGCTGGTTGTATATGTGAAAGATGTATTTATTATATACATGGGGTGAGAAAAAAATAAGATACACGGTAGATAGATGTACGTGTGTGCATACTGCAGGACTAACTGAAGTTGTGCTAAAAAGTTCACCACTCCCATTCTACCCCCCCAGCCATTGCACTTCACTTGCCTGTAAAGGGAATTTCTAGAACACGAAGATGTAATTAAGACGTGCGTGTGAAGTGATTCGCTTCATCTTAAAATCGCAGAGGGGCCCTCTTTCTAATTGTGACACCAATCATTTAAAACAAGAAATTAACCTGCAGACCGGATGTATCATACGGTCTCTCGTTCCCACAGTCCTGGCCCATCAGCCATGATCACTCTATAGCTGGATGGAGGCCTCCCTAACCCAACAACCACCTTTCACGATCCTGTGATTTAATAACCCAACAATTCACTGTCCTTTGTCAATCTGCCGCTGAAGGCCTCTCCACTGCGTCACGGTCACTGGGGTTGTTTGGCCAATATACTCCACGCTGGGTGGTTGCGGGTTGGTGAAAGGGGTGGGTGAACCCACGGCCGATTCACATATCGTTCGCCATCTGATGTTAGCTGTGGCCAGGAACTGAACTCAAAGCGGAGTGTACTTTTAACTCAGCTTTTGCTACCCCCCCCCATACACCGCATTTAAAACACACACGCGCGCGCAGAGTAATTGTCTATATAACATTCATGAAGCTTCCACGAGTAGATAACTGGTATTAAGTTTTGCCAAGCTCTGACGTCAAGGGTCGCATCATTGTTCAGTAACACATTCCACGCATACACAAGAGACACGAGCAGTCACTACAGTGCTTTACTAAGGACCGTATAGCAGTAGTAAAACACTAGCGCCCCTTCAACAAAAGACACGACAAAACTACTGGAGCCCCCTCTCGTCGTGGGTTAAAAGACCTCAAATGTGGCATTTTGTTTTCAATCGAACGAAACACACTGCTGTCATCACTCGCGAGAGTAGAATAGGTAGAATAACGTGCGGATGTGCACCGCCTTGGTGTAATGCAACGCCGTGAGCCAGACTCGATCACACACAACACCTACGATTCTCGTAAACGATCACCACGATCACCTGAGACTGAAGCCGTCAGCTGTGCTTTTTGGGGGATGTAATTAGTGCCCAAACCTCTGGGCAAAATCTTCCACAGACTCCTCATTCACCAGAAATGGTGTTTAACAGAGGCACAACTTTGCTGAATAGCAGTTTTTTTCCCTCTCTCTCGCTCAGAATTAAATGTTTCACAACAGCTAACAAAAAATATTGATAACATCGCTCGGTCTGCCAAACCAGCCCCAGAGACACGGTATGAACTGCAGCACAACCACTTGGATCCTCGTACGAATGCACTGTCACACGTGTGTACACAGCACATTCACACAATAATACCGTGCGCACTACACGCACATTAACACACATTCAGTCGTACACATTAACGCTGTGCTGTGTATTAAACGTACATTAATTAACACACTTTCACTGTGTAGTGTCTTCCACATTAACGCAGTACTGTGTAATAAACGAACATTAATTAACACACTTTCACCGTGTAGTGTCTTCCACATTAACGCTGTACTGCGTATTAAACGAACATTAATTAACACACTTTCACTGTGTAGTGTCTTCCACATTAACGCAGTACTGTGTAATAAACGAACATTAATTAACACTTTCACCGTGTAGTGTCTTCCACATTAACGCAGTACTGTGTATTAAACGAACATTAATTAACACACTGTCACCTGGTATATACCACCATATTTTAATGATTTATATACATCTTGTAATACCCTTCACACGTACGCAGCACTTATCGTGTATTAACATACACACTTAAACAATGTTGTTTAAATTAGAACCAAGCAACCATATATGGTGCACAATAGCGATATTAATTATAATACAATAGCGATATTAATTATAATATACGAGACACTGACACGCAACACGGCTGCGTGTGGTTGATGTGCAATAACAATTGTTTATAAAAAAAACCGTGCAATTAACCCATCCCCCCAGTATTCAGCTATTAGTAAGCGTGCAAAAATCACTGAGGTAAAGTTGTCGCTTTTCAACGCATAACATAAAGAAAATACAGGTCAGTACTGTATACAGTACTGAACACGGTGCATTGTGACACATTTGAACACATTTCTATCACTAGACATCCCACGGAATTAAATAAGATCACGCAATTAACACACAAACTGCACACAATTTATACGCAAACGCGCCATTGTAAGATAAACACATTTTAGAGCGAGCCCCGTGTACAGTGCGTGACAATAGCGCGCATCAACGACGGGGCGATGTCTCTGCACAACAACGGCACGGCTTAGCAATCTCGAGCGTTCGTGGTATAATTCACGAGATTGGCGAACGACAACAACAACCACGACGACAACGACGACAACAACAACACAGCAGCGGCGCTGTGAGAGGGCGCACTCGGGGCGCAGAGTGCAACACAAAGGCCGAGAATCGTCCCCCGCCCGCAACAATGGCCATCGACGCGGCACCCGCTCGCCCGCACCATGGCGTGGAGGCCTCCGAGCGCCCCTCGCTCCCACCGCAGGGCCGCCGCCTCCGCCGCCGCCTCTCGACCTGCAAGGAGCCCCCCACCCCACCACCCCGACCGCCGGGCTCTTTATCCGCGGCGGTCAGAGCCCGGACCTCGCCATGTATTTACAAAGCGGCGGCGGCGGCAATGGGAAGAGGGCAGTGAGTGAGTGGTGGTGGTGGTGTGGTGGTGGGGGGGTTAGTGGTGGTGGTGGGGGGGGTAGTGGGGGGGGGCGCACCGCTCCACATTTCGCAGAGCGCACGAGGCCGAGCGTCGCGAGCGCCGCGCCGCCATTGGCCCGAGCCGCGCACGCGCCCCGCGCGGGAAGCGATCCCATTGGCGGAGCGCGCGAGCTGGGCCAATGGGGAGCGCGCGGCCGCCCGTGCGCGCTGGGGAATGCAGCGGCGGCGGCGGTGCTGGCGCCGCGGCCTGGTCGGGCAGGCTCTGCGGGGTCCGCGGGAGGAGAGCCCCGGGGGGAGCAGCGGCGGCGGCGGGGAGCAGCGGGCAGCAGCGGGGGGAGCAGCGGGCAGCAGCGGGGGGAGCAGCGGCGGGGAGCAGCAGCGGCGGCGGGGGAGCAGCAGCAGCGGTCGCTCCCCCCCCTCTCAACACCATCACCACCACCAACCCCGAACCCCGCAGTGGCGGGGTTCTGGGTTGGTGGTGATGATGAGAGGACCCCCTCCCCTCGAGAGACGGCGACAGAGCGGCCGTGGCGAGCGATACGCGGCGTACGGGGGGCCGCGTTGGCCGCGCGACACGCCACCCACTTTCTCCTCCTCCTCCTTCTTCTTCGTCGTCTTCGTCTTGGCTTTGTTGGGCATCTTCCGCGGGCGGCGTGAGGGCGGCTCCGACTCTGCACGACGCTCGCGGGCCCCGCCTCTCTCCCCCTCACCCCTCTCGCTGTCTACACACACATTACATAGTACTTACTACTACACATTACATAGTACTTACTACTACATAGTACACATTACATAGTACTTACTACTACACATTACATAGTACTTACTACTACATAGTACACATTACATAGTACTTACTACTACACATTACATAGTACTTACTACTACACATTACATAGTACTTACTACTACATAGTACACATTACATAGTACTTACTACTACACATTACATAGTACTTACTACTACATAGTACACATTACATAGTACTTACTACTACACATTACATAGTGCTTACTACTACATAGTACACATTACATAGTACTTACTACTACACATTACATAGTACTTACTACTACATAGTACACATTACATAGTACTTACTACTACACATTACATAGTGCTTACTACATAGTACACATTACATAGTACTTACTACTACACATTACATAGTACTTACTACTACACAGTACACATTACATAGTACTACTACATAGTACACATTACATAGTACTTACTACTACACATTACATAGTACTTACTACTACATAGTACACATTACATAGTACTACTACATAGTACACATTACATAGTACTTACTACTACATAGTACACATTACATAGTACTACTACATAGTACACATTACATAGTACTTACTACTACATAGTACACATTACATAGTACTTACTACTACATAGTACACATTACATAGTACTTACTACTACACATTACATAGTACTTACTACTACACATTACATAGTACTTACTACTACATAGTACACATTACATAGTACTTACTACTACATAGTACACATTACATAGCACTTACTACTACACATTACATAGTACTTACTACTACACATTACATAGTACTTACTACTACATAGTACACATTACATAGTACTTACTACTACATAGTACACATTACATAGTACTTACTACTACACATTACATAGTACTTACTACTACATAGTACACATTACATAGTACTTACTACTACATAGTACACATTACATAGTACTTACTACTACACATTACATAGTACTTACTACTACACATTACATAGTACTTACTACTACATAGTACACATTACATAGTACTTACTACTACATAGTACACATTACATAGTACTTACTACTACACATTACATAGTGCTTACTACATAGTACACATTACATAGTACTTACTACTACACATTACATAGTACTTACTACTACATAGTACACATTACATAGTACTACTACATAGTACACATTACATAGTACTTACTACTACACATTACATAGTACTTACTACTACATAGTACACATTACATAGTACTTACTACTACATAGTACACATTACATAGTACTTACTACTACACATTACATAGTACTTACTACTACACATTACATAGTACTTACTACTACATAGTACACATTACATAGTACTTACTACTACATAGTACACATTACATAGTACTTACTACTACACATTACATAGTGCTTACTACATAGTACACATTACATAGTACTTACTACTACACATTACATAGTACTTACTACATAGTACACATTACATAGTACTTACTACTACATAGTACACATTACATAGTACTTACTACTACACATTACATAGTACTTACTACTACATAGTACACATTACATAGTACTTACTACTACATAGTACACATTACATAGTACTTACTACTACACATTACATAGTACTTACTACTACACATTACATAGTACTTACTACTACATAGTACACATTACATAGTACTTACTACTACATAGTACACATTACATAGTACTTATTACTACACATTACATAGTACTTACTACTACATAGTACACATTACATAGTACTTACTACTACACATTACATAGTACTTACTACATAGTACACATTACATAGTACTTATTACTACATAGTACACATTACATAGTACTTATTACTACACATTACATAGTACTTACTACTACATAGTACACATTACATAGTACTTACTACTACATAGTACACATTACATAGTACTTACTACTACACATTACATAGTACTTACTACTACATAGTACACATTACATAGTACTTACTACTACATAGTACACATTACATAGTACTTACTACTACATAGTACACATTACATAGTACTTACTACTACACATTACATAGTACTTACTACTACATAGAACACATTACATAGTACTTACTACTACATAGTACACATTACATAGCACTTACTACTACACATTACATAGTACTTACTACTACACATTACATAGTACTTACTACTACATAGTACACATTACATAGTACTTACTACTACATAGTACACATTACATAGTACTTACTACTACACATTACATAGTACTTACTACTACATAGTACACATTACATAGTACTTACTACTACATAGTACACATTACATAGTACTTACTACTACACATTACATAGTACTTACTACTACACATTACATAGTACTTACTACTACATAGTACACATTACATAGTACTTACTACTACACATTACATAGTACTTACTACTACATAGTACACATTACATAGTACTTACTACATAGTACACATTACATAGTACTTACTACTACACATTACATAGTACTTACTACTACATAGTACACATTACATAGTACTACTACATAGTACACATTACATAGTACTTACTACTACACATTACATAGTACTTACTACTACATAGTACACATTACATAGTACTTACTACTACACATTACATAGTACTTACTACTACATAGTACACATTACATAGTACTACTACATAGTACACATTACATAGTACTACTACATAGTACACATTACATAGTACTTACTACTACACATTACATAGTACTTACTACATAGTACACATTACATAGTACTTACTACTACATAGTACACATTACATAGTACTTACTACTACACATTACATAGTACTTACTACTACATAGTACACATTACATAGTACTTACTACTACATAGTACACATTACATAGTACTTACTACTACATAGTACACATTACATAGTACTTACTACTACACATTACATAGTACTTACTACTACACATTACATAGTACTTACTACTACATAGTACACATTACATAGTACTTACTACTACATAGTACACATTACATAGTACTTATTACTACACATTACATAGTACTTACTACTACATAGTACACATTACATAGTACTTACTACTACACATTACATAGTACTTACTACTACATAGTACACATTACATAGTACTTACTACTACATAGTACACATTACATAGTACTTACTACATAGTACACATTACATAGTACTTACTACTACATAGTACACATTACATAGTACTTACACACACATTACATAGTACTTACACACTACATAGTACACATTACATAGTACTTACTACTACACATTACATAGTACTTACACACACACATTACATAGTACACACACTACTACACATTACATAGTACTTACTACTACACATTACATAGTACTTACTACTACATAGTACACATTACATAGTACTTACTACTACATAGTACACATTACATAGTACTTACTACTACACATTACATAGTACTTACTACTACATAGTACACATTACATAGTACTTACTACTACATAGTACACATTACATAGTACTTACTACTACACATTACATAGTACTTACTACATAGTACACATTACATAGTACTTACTACTACATAGTACACATTACATAGTACTTACACACACATTACATAGTACTTACACACTACATAGTACACATTACATAGTACTTACTACTACACATTACATAGTACTTACTACTACACATTACATAGTACTTACTACTACATAGTACACATTACATAGTACTTACTACTACATAGTACACATTACACAGTACTTACTACTACATAGTACACATTACATAGTACTTACACACTACATAGTACACACATTACATAGTACTTACACACTACTACACATTACATAGTACTTACACACTACTACACATTACATAGTACACACACTACTACACGTTACATAGTACTTACACACTACTACACATTACATAGTACTTACACACTACTACACATTACATAGTACTTACACACTACTACACATTACATAGTACTTACACTACTACACATTACATAGTACACACACTGCACATTACATAGTACACACACTACTACACATTACATAGTACTTACACACTACTACACATTACATAGTACACACACACTACATAGTACACACACTACTACACATTACATAGTACTTACACACTACTACACATTACATAGTACTTACACACTACTACACATTACATAG